CGAAAGACGCTAATTCGCCTATCCGAAAGTATCCTCTCCCGTGCTACGTGCCGTACACGTAGGTATACAGAGGCTTTTTATCTAGGCGTCGATAGCAATTAGAGATAGCGCTGAGGGGGACGCACGCGCGTAGACCTCTACTACTGCAACTTATTCATGCGTGTGTCCACTTCCCTGTGTGAGAATCGAAACACTCGTTCGTTCTCAATTACGTCACTCGGTGATCTGCTAGTACGTACAACGCGTGCACGGGCTTCTACCGGGAGACTCACAGCCGGCCGATGCAGGAGCGCCAGGACGACTTGAGAACGACCGCCGATATATCGTGAGAATTTTTCAGCGACTGACGCCCACGTGCATGTGCACGGCTCCGCGTAAGAAGTCAGGGCTGTGTGCGCGCAAACTTGACGTCCTATTCCTGTGCAATGTCCCGAAAGACTGCGCGAGGCCGGATTGTGCGCTTTAATGAGCGGACGCCTGCTCGCCCGCTCCTTCCTAATTATTGTCTTTTCGCCGGGATAATTGCCTCTTTCACTGCGCCGACCAGCGGTGTTACGGCTCAAATGAGAAAGCCAAAAATTTCAAAATTCGTGAATTTTGTGCAATCAACGTTTACAGAAGAATGACGAAAAACCGCTCCCTCTCTTTCTCTCTCGTGGAATTACTTTAAGCAAACATAGGGATACTTTCATTCTTTTTTCTCTTTATCGTGATCGCGGTCACCATGATTATACACAGTCAAATCGCAAATAAACAAAAGGCAGAAACGTCAGTATCGCTGGATCTGGCATTTACGGCAGCTGGCTATCTGCAGTAGCTTTCCTGTCTGGCGGGGATTTGATTTTAGTGGGTAAAAGCGATTATGTGCCCGCGCTTACACAATGGGCTCTGCGCGGCTCAGGGCGGTTGCTCTGGCTGCTGCAGACGCCCGATTACATAAGTTTACGATAAATTTTAGTGTACATTTGCAGGACAATTGCAATTGTTTTTTTACAAATTGGTTTTCACTTTTTTCGCTCTCCGTCTCTCTCTCTCTCTCTCTCTCTCTCTCTCTCTCTCTTCTCTGTCTTCGCGATTATTCAGCTTTCGCTGTTCAAATTCATCGTACAGATTTTGACGTGGAAAGCGAACACAGATACACAAACGAAAAGAGAGGAAATGTGCCTATGCCTGCAGTAGTAGTTATCGAACAGAATGTTCAATGCGTGTTCGGCATTGATAAACGGAATGCACAATGCGTTGGGTTTTGGGAGACTTATCGCGTGAAACGCTAATTTACTTAGTGATAGCGTTGAGTAAAAATTCAGAATACTACCTCTGCAGCAGCAGATGCAACGTAGTTCAAGCTCGAGACAAATGTCGATGGGCGGCGCATTGAATATAGGGCAGGGCAGTCTCAGGCGCTTGGCGAGTGCATACGTGTATAAAAATTGAGGGCAGAGTCGCGCGTTGAAGATCGAGGCCTGCGAAGAACGAGCTTCAATCAGCTGCGTTTGCGATTGAGCGGCAGAGACAACTGGGCCCGACCCCGCGTGACCCCATCTCTCGGCGGCGCTCTCGCTCACTCGCTTTCGATTGGATCGGCAGACTCTCCGACTCGCTCATCTGGCGGACTCTCCCGCCAGGTGTACACGTACGCACACATCATCGTCATCAGCGTCACATCTTAAGCTTCCCCGCTCGGGCTCTAAGACCGCGCGCCAAAGTCCGCAACCACGCAGTCGCTCGCACGCTCGCGCCGAGGTTATTTCGCCTATTTTCGCCGCGCGACGCACCTTACACTGGCTCTATTGTTTCCGTACTTTCCTTCCGGGATCGGCGACGAGCCTCGACGCAGCAACTGCCCAAGTGATATCGCCGATACTTTGTTCGTGCTTCGCTTTTCTTCCGCTCTCAGCGAGTCTCCCTTTCGAGTGTGGTTCGAGCGCGTTGAACAGCTGTGTATGTATCAAGTTCACTCATGTTTCCTTCATTTTTTCCTTCTCGCTCATTTCGCAATACAAGAGATGCTTTGCAAGATGCTTTGCAAGATGCTTTGAGTGTCTGGCACGCATGATGGCTAAAGTGTGAAGGTTAGTTTTGTTATTGTGCTCAATACAATCTGTCGTCTTTATTCATTATCAAGTGCCCGCGATATTTTTCTCTTTTGTCCAGAGATTGGACCAAAATGTTTTCTCGGTAAAACTTGATAATGAATATATCAAACAATGAGATTTGTATATTTGCAGTTCTTGTAAATTTATTGAATGTTTACAATAAGACTCGACGATATAGCGTTGACCGTACTAGTAACTAAATTGCGAGTTGCGTGCTCGTCCGAATCTTTTGTCGTGACGATTCATCAGCGAAATTTAAGTCGGTGAAGTGCTATCTAGTCGAGAGCTTTCTATTTTTCTTACATGATAGTTAAAAGTGTCTGAATCCAAGTGCAAGAAATCAAAATAATTGTACGTTGCCTGAGCTCAATGAAAAGACAACTTTCTCTGGCGACCATATCCATCTAACAGATAGAAGAGCGAATAGACTTGATTTGTATAAGTTACCGAATCACTGTTACGTTTTGAAAAGATTGTCTCTCATGGCCTGCAGCGTCTATTAAAGGTCTAGTCACATTACGCGCGAGAGAGAGAGAGAGAGAGAGAGAGAGAGATCGTGCAAGTTAGTCGGGCGTGACAAAAAAATTACGCAATTTCAAGGTTTTCGCATTGTCGAGTCTCTCTCTCTACTGATTACCAGTTACAAATGATTGATTATTATTGACTGCTAAATGTTTTTTCTTTGAGAACCGGCGCGCAATTAACTTTTCACCAAGCAAAATTGTGCAGCGCGCCCCGGCCAATTATTTCGTTACGTCTAGCATTTTTCATCAGTTTTATCACCTCGTTATTTATCTTATCATTCAGGCGACATACCGCGCGTGAATCATTCACACAGGAAGCCGGTAATTGAAAAAATTTATCACTTATGGGACTTACATTTTGATCAACCAAAAGTGCACATAGTAGCTGAACAATAACGTTAACAAATAATTTGCCATAAAAGAAAAATGGACAGGTATAAAGAGATAAAAATAGTTTGTATCGATGGAGAAAAAAACAAGGAAGAGAAAAAAAAAAACGAAGCGCAATAATCAACGCTGTGAATGAACCGCGGAACCGGGCGGCGATAAATCCTTTAACAACTCAATAAACAGAGATGGATAGGCCGCGCGCGGCTATGTGTGTTTTTTCTTCGGAGTCTAATTGGGAATCAATAGGCAGGCCTCGAGACAATAGGCGAGCAGGAAGAGGCTGCGCGAGCGTGTCGTGAGCCTTGAAGATACATGTGTAGTTGCGCACGTGCACGAGGCTTGCACCACGTGGACCATTAGCTCGCGCGCCGTCGCAATTAGCGGGACGTTAAGCGCGCGGCGAACAATGCCGCCGATGAATTGCCCCCCGGCCACGGGAACGCGATCTCCTATCGGCTCTTGCTCTTTGACCAATTACGTATAGCGCGCGAGACTCTATACTTGCGGTCGCCGCCGCTTACCTATGCCAATCGTCGCGCAATCGCGCATACCTTCTCTTTGCGTTTTCGCACTGTCTTTTCTCTTCCGTCGGCAATCGTTCGTTTGTTGGCCAAGTTCGTCAGCGCTCTCCACGGCTATTCTGCCGATTGTTTATCGGCTCTCGTCGTCCTCGCTATGCCGTAAACATCCAATGCACCTCGCATCTTCGCTTCTCCTTTGCGCTGATCGACCAGCGCTATTTTAATATCGCTCTGTCATTTGTATTAATGACGTACGACTGTGTGCATCGCAGAAATCCGCTTTTACGCGCACAACCGTTTACTTACGAATCGAATGCTAATTCAATATTGCACTCTAAATTCATCCAAGTCCCGAGTACTCGACTGGCTTCCAATTAAACGCTTTTACGGACTTTGAGATTTTAATTACGGAGAAAGGAAACATAGAGGAACGTGCCGACACTTCCTACATTAAAATGCTTTGGTATAACCAATGACGTCGATCATCTCGTACGCACTTTGACATAAATTTCCGCGTAATATGGTATTGAACTTATCGCGTTTCCTCGTCGATAAGCTGTTAATTCAAGCGCAAATTTGTACATTTATTAATTTAATTATAACAGCGGTCGACGTAGCATCAGATCTAACGTAGAAACGGTATGCCGTGTGATAAGGCTTCAATGTTTACTTTAGATTCTAGAGCGCCGACTTACGCAATCGTAAGAAAGTTATAGTTCACTTACGAACACTTATGATGCTAGTCGAAGAAATAGATACGTAAACTAGGACGATTTGCCAGTCAATTATGTAGACTCAAATTAATAAACTATACTGAGGTCATTAGCTCGATACGTTGTTAAATCTTAATAGAACAGATATAGTCTTCGCGGGGCATTAATAACGTCTGACATTCCGCAGACAACTGTCTGATTTCCTGGTTTGCTAGGGTTTAATATCAAGATAACGTACAACGAGAGCGGCACTGCAGACACTTATTTCCATTTATCAATACATATATATATATATATATATATATATATATATATATATATATATATATATATTATTTATTTATCGTGCTCGTTACAATACGTCTTGCGCAAGAGCCCACTCTCTCGAGATCGCGATCTTTTGTGATTTACTCGCTGATATTTCCATGACTTTTTCCATTCTGCCGCGCGCCGCTCTCGATTGATATATCTCAATGTAAGCAGGCTCGCAAGGATATTTACGAGAGTCTTGGTCATTGTCCGAAACATACTAAAACAAAAGGCCACGAAAAAGAAAAAACTCGTAGCTTTTTTTTTGTTACTCTGTGGCCAGAGCGTGTAGCATAGTGGGCTGGTGCCTTGCTGCGAGTTTACGTAAGCTTTTCATTAAGCGAATATTATATAAATTAAGCCGTTGCAGTGTAATTTAATAAAGCCAGATGGCGAAACTGTTTGTGCGCTGAAAACTCACGGCGTCTGTTTTGTGTCTATTTGCAGCGATGTGGCGCAACCCACCAGGAATTTACTTCTGCAAAATGATTCGCATCCTCGCCTTCCTGTGTATGGTGATCCTACCCTTCGCAAGATGCAGCAAGGTAAGTCCTTGGCCAGACTTGTTCTTTACATTGATGCACACGATGGCTCTGAACCGACAATTAAAATCATTCGCCGCGCTATTCTGCGTTGCTTGGCAATGAGAGCCAGGGATCTATCACGGACGTTGGCATGCATAACTAATAGGAAAGAACACACTCGCCTGATTCTTATCGCTCGATATTCTTCATTAACATGTAAAGTAAAGCCTACGTACTAAAATTGGCGATATAATATTATTGATGAGAAAAAAAATACATTAGTATGTCAAGCGCATTCCCGCGAGCGCGCACATTTGTTGCAAATTAGTTTGCAGCACGACTGTGGGTGTTGCGAATTCCATCCTCGCGGCGGCGTGCACGCGAATCAATCATACAATGAAACCACTCGAACAGACGAATTCGCAAAGCAACTTTCTCAAGTTGCATCGCGGCCGCGCCGTAAGCATGGAATAAATCAGCGATAGATCTTGATAATGGGCTTCGAATCCTCTTCAAACATCAGCCAAACTTGTAATCGCACGGTCGTGCATCGCTGAAACTATTCGTAGCTTTGATAGCTCTGAAAAAAAAAAATTTCTCGCCGATATTTTCACAACAGTCATCGCCGCTGGCAAGCGTTGAAAATACAAAACGAAAATAACAAAGTTATTATCCGACGAAAATTTCAGCTGCGCGACTCGTTTATTACATAAATCTAATGAACCGGTTAAGCTCGTTATTTATCATCGTTAGCTTGACGCGTTTCTCAACAGTGGTATATCCATGTGCGCAGACACATAGGATGGGATGCACACACGTGCAATCTCTGCGCGATGAAACAATTGCCAAACGCGCCTAGGAAAATTCGATTTCACTGGTGAAGCGCTGATCGCGATTTCTTTGTTACAAAGAGCGTCGCTCGACAGATGAATCAGAGAAAATGCAAAGCAGACGCGCTCAAGTGCCTGCATACGCGCGCAACACGTGCAGTCTGCCGATTAAGACAATTCGCACGCTCAAGTTCGACTATATAGCTGTCGTACTGTCGACTGTTGCGATCGATCTCGCTTTTATCTTCTCTTTCACTTTGCATTTCTAGTCGCTTCTCTTGCCAAGAATACGAGGCGCGCGAAAGCGCGGGTCCGCGCTTTCGCGCAATGCCTGACTTCAGCCACTCAATTTAAAAGCTTCGCGCGACAACAAAGTTTCGTCACACGCGCTTTAATTGGCTCTCGACAAACCTGTTTGCCACTTCAACTTATCTGCATTTCTCTCTCTTTCGAAGTGGCGCCTACGCGTAACTTGAAACATCGATCGTCACGCATTATATGCGTATAAGAAGTACGATTGTTATAAAAAAGAAACGAATTAAAACGAAAGAGGAAGTCGATCGCACATATTTTGCAATAATCCAGAAAGCTTTTCAGCACTCGAAAACGAGTAGGCGTACTAATTGCCATAACTGTTATTTGGCCCGGTACACACGTGAGTGTCAATTAGTATTATAATAGGAGACTACGTTGCGGTTCGAAGAAACAAAAGTGTGAAATCGTCTACAGATCTAGATAAGAGTTTTCTGGTGGCGAGATCTCGAAGAAAAGAAGAAAAAATGAAGTCAGAGGCGTTACACGGCGTTGCAGGTGCGGAACAATGGCTGCTTTCTCGGGCGCGATATATCGCACGTCTTATAGCTCTGATCGACGTAATGCGCCGCGTGAAAGTGATCGACCTTAGGATCTCGCGCTAACTGCAGACCCACCATCTCCGTGCTATGTGTCAAAGTTGAATTATTGGCTGTCTGCTCGCTGAGAAAATCTTACCGGGCTTATTACAGCAACTATGTCTTGTAAAAGAGTTACTGAGAAAAATTTTATGCAAAGGCTGCCTCGCGACACGATGGCTTCGGCTCTCATTGGGAAAACGGCTACAGCCAGTTTGGCGCACATATGCGTGTACCGCCTTGCGCTATAAACGACCGCAACCCATTTGCTTTGCTTTACAAGGTTACTTGCTCGCTATTACCAATATAATCTCAGCAAACTATGTACGCTTATTCTGACAATAGTTCACGCATCATATATTTATACCTTTTTTACGGGATGAATCGAGCATATAAATATTTATTTTTCCATTTCCACATCAAATAATCATATTCATTTATGTATATAAGCTTGAGTGTACACGCTAACTAATTCGCTAAATTTATCGATTCATCAGTGTTGAGTACAAAATAGCTATCGAGTTCAATCCGATGATTAGCTTATTCTATATCAAGTGTCATGAGAAATAACTTGAACAATCTATATAAATAAAATTAATTTATTTTTATTCGCACCTCTATAACCGTTTTTAATCGTATTTACAGTCTTTATCAATTCTTTGTCAATTCTACATCAGTGCCCCTACAGTACCTACTCTAATTTTATTTTCATTGTTTTCACTATTTTTCTCTCTATATCGTCTTTATGACTTCACCGTACTCTCTCTCTCTCTCTCTTGCAGTGCCCTTTTCAAACTTTCCCGCCACTTTGTCAGCTTCCTATTTAATGTTTCTCTCGTTTCTACCCTTAAGCAAACCTTTGGACCCCTCTCTTTCATTTTCAGTACACTACTTACATAGTTTGCCGCCTTGTTTTTACTTCTATTTTCATAGACTGTCTTCCCATTTGCATTGCCCATGTGTGATTTGGAATGTTTTTACTTGATCCCATTGTCACTTTCACTAATTTTCTTTGCACGCGCTCTATTGATTCTCATTTACTCCGTCTCCATATTTCGGTCCCCTAAACATACCCTTGGTTTTAATTATTCCGTTGATGAGATATAATCGTTTCTTCAGACTTTTGATTTGAACTCTTCTTCTCATTCCCTATACTACGTTCATTGCCTTACTTGCTTTCTCCGTCATTCTTTTCGTATAAATCGGGTGTGTTTTTTTGGGTAAAGCAGGACCTCGGATATTTAAATTCTTTAATTATCTCTAACCCTACATATTTAAACTTTACATTTCTATATTCTTTACACTCTCTTCTGCGCGGATTGATATCTTAGTTTTTTCCGCGTTTACCTCCATTCCATCTCGGTCGTTGCATTTATCCAGTCTCCCTAATATCTTTTCCGTCCACAACTATCACGATATCGTCTGCTAACTTTAAAACGGTAGATTTTCAAATTCCCATCCAAAACCGCGCATCCTATTTTCTTCTGTTCCCACGTTTCGATAATATCATCTAGGTTTTAGCAGAATAAAAGAATAAAATTGACTTATCAAACAGCCCTTTTTCACTTCCTTTGTTGTTTTAAATCCCTTCATCGTTCCTTGTTTTCTGATTATTTCGTTTATTGTCACTCTGTAAATTGCTTGGATCATATGAAAAATGTTACTCATTTTCTCATTTTTTTACTTTCCTATTCGCTATTTCTCTATTAATCACATCAGAAGCGATTTTGTAAACTGTGAATGCTAGGTATAAATAATTTTCATCTCTTTTCATTTTGTTTCCTATTATATTATTCAACGTAAAAATGTGATTTTGCGTCCCCCTACCTGCTTCGGAAACCCGCTTGACTTTATTTGAAACTTTTGTTTTATTTCCGTCTAGTTGCTTATTTCGTTTGCTATTCTTTTAATTAGTAGTTTATATCTTGCGTCTAATAGGAATACGTCCCTGTAATTCTTTGCCCATTCCATATTTATTTCGCCTCTTTCCCACATTTCACTTCAGCTCGCGCATAGGCTTCTCAAGTATATCTCTGGCAGATATTTAATGAATTCTCGGGTGACCCCATCTTACCCGGCCGCTTTGCCATTTTTCATGCTTTTTAATATTTTTCTGATTTCAATTAGGCTTATTTTTCCGTTTAGTGACTCGTCTTCGTTCTCCAACTCATCCGTTCTAATCTCTTCTTTTTCCCTCTCGTGTCTCTCCCCTACTTCGTTTATTACACCTAGAAGTTTGGTAAAATGTTTCAACCAACCCCCTTTTCGGTCGCGTCCCCTTCGCTGGCTTTTGTCGGTCTCTGCTTATTAATTATCTGCCAAAATTCCACCATATCTCTATATTTTGTCATTCTTTCATACTTTGTTTCTCTGTTTTCTCTGCTTTCTGGCGATCAATTTTATAAAGGTTTTTTCTCATTTCTCTCAATGAATCTGTCATTGTTCGACTTAGTTTTCAGCCGCTCATTCCAACATATTCCACGCGACCTGTTTCTATTCTTCTATTTCTTCGCCCTCTGTTTTTTTTTCTTTTACTGGTCCTTAAGCTCATCATTTCTATGTTGGCAGCTACTATTTTTCTGCTTTTATCAATAAGTTCATCAATTAGCTTATAATTTTTTTTCTCTCTATATTTGCTTTTACTTACTCATTTTTCCATTCCTTCCTCCTAGGATATAAAAATTAACTGGTAGGTTATCTGTCTCAGTTCGTGTGAGTACTTTTAGATCACTTATTAAGTCCATGTAACCCGTTCCCCCTCTATTACTGTAGTCAAGCGTCGAGGTTCCAGCATCTCCGATGAAAGTATTAGTACTTATCCACTTTGTCACTCATCGTACAACCATTTTTCACTATCCCGTTACATTCTTTCAGCGTTTTCAACAGCTTTTTACTGTCTGTTGCATTTCTTATCTGCTGACAATCTATCTGGCTCCCTGTTTACTTATTCTTAACCAATTCTCACATCAGTCTTCTACTAATATAGTCATTTTCTTTAGCTATATTTCGGTCTACTATATCTTGTATATTTTTAATTACATTTTATACATTGCGCTTTTGTTTATCTTTTCGTCGCCGTGTAATTGTACATTTTCAATTATTAACCTATATTCTAATTCTTTTATTTTTATTCAACTTGCACTATCTTTTCTGATTCGAACAAGCCTTGCCCCGCTCGCTTCTGCTGTATTCTTCTGCTACCCTCTTCTTACTACCGCAATGTAATTCCCTATCGTTGGTCTCTCACTGATGCACTTCATTGTTTGATCATCGTTGCCCGTCGCCGTCTGCTTACTGTGACTCGTCATCTGCTTGCCATTGCTCGTTGTCGCCTACTTGGCACTGATCGTCGCTGTCAGCTCGTTTTTGTCCACCGTTGCTCATCGCCGCCTGTTTATCGTTGTTCACAGCCGTCAGTTCGCTGTTTCTCATCGTCGTATGGTTGTTTTTGCACGTTGACTCCCAAACGTGGTTGTTCATTGTTCTTGTCTCTGTCCATGTCTTGCCAAAAATTTTTCTTGTTCCCCTGGTTATTGTACCTTATTGTATTGGTATTGTACCACTTCGAAATTGCTTTACCTCACCTTCCAAATATATAGTAGGTCTTCTATTTTGATTTTTAAGTAACCCATGCCTGTTATTCCTATTCGCTATTCTTTCTGTGCAATTTGTGTATCCATTATTGCACTTTCATTATTGTACATATACGTATTATCTGTATGTACGATCTATTTCCATTTCTAATTCCATGTTCTCGAAGTCCGTTATGTATTTTAATATTTTCAGTTTACTCAGCAAGCTGTATAATTTTACAATTATTCTAATTGTAAACGGTAATATTTTCTTTAATCCTACTCGTTCAGTAAAGAGCTTTGCACATGCGTAATGCGCCTTGTAAACATAGCGCATCGCACGTACACGATGTACTTTACTTTTAGGCAGTCAATACGATTCTATGTTGTTTGCTGGGAGCGCAGCATCATCCTACTACGTGGGTATACAAAAAAATTTTATATGAACTACGGGAGTATAATAGGCAAATCATGCTATCTGTAAAATACCGACCTCGTTTCGCTCGATCGGTAACATCACACGGTGCCTTCACTGCCCACTGTGCTCTCTGGATGTATAATATATTATATTATATTAGTATATAATTAGTATAATATTTCTTAACTTAATAATGAAAAATTATTATTTTGAGAACACTGTTCTTATTTCAAGTTCAAAATATTTAAATTACAAAAAATAATAGAATGATTCCCCTTAAAGAATCAATCGTTGCTTATGATCTTATTTTGTCAATATAACTGATTGTCACGAAACTTGAAAGGATTAATATTCAAATATCCATCTTTGCAGACAATAAAATAAACCATAGAAATAGAAAGTTATTTCCTCGTGAAAAATTGTTTTTACACATGTAGATACACTGCCCGTCAATCACTTTTGCCATGCTTACCTCAAAATTAGGCAAACTTGAAAGTTTTGTATCTCGGTCGGAAATCATCGTATCACAAAAAACCGTAGGGCATTTTAAAGGTAATTGCAAAAGCTTCCATTTAAGACGTGCAGAGACTTAAAAATGAAAATATGTGTTTTTTACATTAAAAAAACTGAATAAAAAAATTTGAATTTTTTTAATCTCGACTTAAATCAATGCCAATTTAGAACCAGGCGGTGGAGGGCAAATCGACCTAAGAGGTTCGGAGGGTAATGTCTTTTCCTTTAAAATGAGCTCCCGCGGGGTTCTATCCGATGTTTTTTAACCGAATTACGGCATTTTTTGTAAAAAGCAACCTTTTTTTCCAATCCTCAATTACTTCTACTTGCGTACGTTTCGGAAAAAAATGCTAAAGAGAAAAAAGTTTCATTTTGTCTCCAAGAATACGAAAATAAAGTCAAAATAAATAAAAAATTTTTTTTTGGTTTTTTAGCGCATTAAAAAAATAAAGGTATTTAACTTTTTTTTTACACTTAGTTTTAAAATGTCTAGGGACGTAGTAAATCACAAAAAAACTAAAACTAAGCGTAAAAAAAAAGTTAAATTCCTTTATTTTTTTAATGCGCTAAAAAACCGAAAAAAGTTTTTTTCTCTATTTCTTTATTTTGACTTTATTTTCGTATTTTTGGACACAAAATGAAACTTTTTTCTCTTTGGCATTTTTTTCCAAAACGTACGCAAGTCGAAGTAATTGAGGATTGGAAAAAAAGGTTGCTTTTTACAAAAAACGCCGTAACTCGGTTAAAAAACATCGGATAGAACCCCGCGGGAGCTCATTTTAAAGGGAAAGACATTACCCTCCGAACCCCTCAGGTCGATTTGCCCTCCACCGCCTGGTTCTAAATTGGCATTGATTTAAGTCGAGGTTAAAAAAATTGAAATTTTTTTAATCAATTTTTTTACTGTAAAAAACACATATTTTCATTTTTAAGTCTCTGCACGTCTTAAATGGAAGCTTTTGCAATTACCTTTAAAATTCCCTGCGGTTTTTTGTGATACGATGATTTCCGACCAAGATACAAAACTTTCAAGTTTGCCTAATTTTGAGGTAAGCATGGCAAAAGTGATTGACGGGCAGTGTATGTGGTGTCATTAATATTTTATACACATAATTGACGATAATTTCTTAATTATGTAAAAGTTTCCGATAAAAGACCAATAAGTAATATATTATTTAATGAAGATTAAGATAATAGATTGAATAAGGGGGTAAATGATAAAAATTAAAAGAAAATATATATTAATACAGTTAATATTTTATCGAAATTAAAACGAGCTAATCAGCTAACATTTAATACGCATGCATGACATACAATTAGTAATATTAAAAGAACCGTGGTGATTTAGTGGATAGAAAATCAATCCACTCGTGGGGGTCTGGGATTCGATGCACGACGAATACCAATGGCTTTTTTTCAACAAAAATCACACTTGCATATTGGTAGTGATGATGAAGATGAGAACCGGGCCACCTACTAAAACTAAAGTCATTGGCAACGTTGCACGCATTCATGTACGGGAATCGTGGATAAATTATATGGTTGGAAAATATTCTTCATAAAAGAACTGAAATCTCTCGCAATACACATAGGTTCAATAAATTTCAATACGTTTATTATTATAATCAAATTGTATAAAATATGTACTTTATTATAACTTTTAATTTCAATATCACTTATAGTATGCAATATCTTAGGTAATGTAACTCTTATCACTACAAGTTTACAAAAATATTAATCGTTGGCCGCTGGGTACTATACTATTACACCATGTCGAGTTTAGTGTATGCGAGTACGTGATGCAACTTTGCCAAAGCTAATAGTTTCAGTATTGTATGAAATTTAGTGATCATAAAGGTGCTGTAAAAAGCAATTTTTTTATTTCATTGCGCAGTGATATGGAGGATTAAGATGGTAATTATTATAATCTAGAAACTAAAAAAAACAATGATTTATGCAAATTTGTAGTAAAACTAATGCCCCAAAGGAACCGATCAAAATATAAGGTCCCCGGCTATTGACTCTGCTTAAAATAAATAAAATTGATTTATGTATGATACAAATTTAAGCACAGTTTCTTTATAATGTACTATTATAACAAATATGTTTTAGTATGCAGATTGGATGTATAAAGAATTCTTATTAAAAATATTAAGAGAAATCATACGAATCACTTACTTAATTACTCTAAGTAGAATGAGTTTATAGTGTAGTATCAGAATTAGAAAAACAATGAAAGCAATCAAACCATATAAATAAATTAATGGTTCTTCAAAGAAAAATTGTATTAATTATACATCTTGATTGCATATGACGATAGTTGTTATGAGTGTAATAACATTAGTCCAGCTCACTATATTTAATAAGAAAGTGTTATTGAAAATAGAGCATTGAATTAATAATGGAGTCATCACTTATCATCACCATTAATTTATCTTTTATTTTTAGATTCACGAGCATATGACCAGAGAAGAGATGCTGTCAGTATTCCAGGCGGGCCATGAATCCGGTAAGTCAAGACTGGCGAATAATCTTTTTTTTCAACTGCGATCGCGGAAATTTACTTAATCTGAAATAATGTTAATGAGTAGAATGATTTCCAAGAAGAGAAAAGACTTAAAATTAGTTGTTTTCTTGTGACAGTGCATAATCTGATAAAAGGCAAGTGAGGAACGAATGGTGTCAGTATTTCATTGTTGTTTCTTTGGGCTATTGCAACTGCACTTTGGCATAATCTTCTTTACTTACGCTTAGTCTTAAGCTGTCGACTGAGTGTCGGTGCGTCTATTCACGTCGCGCCAGCTGTTGCATCATCTCGAGACATGCAAATCCGTCGAATAGAATAAAAGCCGAGAGATAAGAGAAGAGAAGAGAAGAGAAGGGAAGGGAAGAGAAGAGAAGAGAAGGGAAGAGAAGAGAGGAGGTTGAAGCGACGGGAGGGTAGGAGGAAGGAAGGAAGGAGGAGAAAGAAAAAGAAAAGGTTATCGAGAAGTAGAAAGAGAGCGAGAGCTGAAGACGGAGAGAGGGCCATCGACTACGTGACTCAGAGACGTCTCGGCGTAATATATGACCGCGAAGGGATCCCCTCCTCGGACGGACGTTACCTAGCCACTCTTCTCGCTCGCGATCGTACATTTTTCATGTTCGCAAAGCGCGACCGGTTGAATCCTTATTTATCGCCGTGAATCAGCGGCATGAATATTTTGGAGAAAAAAAATTTGTCGCGAGCCCGCGCGACACGACCTGCTCTACTCTTCGTCGTCATTTGAGCTGTTCCGTAGCCGCGTAGACTACTATTCGCGCCCCGCAGCCACGCCAAGTCGCATTTTTCTTTGGCGCCCCAACGATACCCTATAGCCACCTTCACTTCGCACTTTTACCGTCTGAAGCTTGATCGATGCCTGCGGAAAAGCCACTTCAAAGTGATTCTCACGAGTCTTGAGCAAGCCCGCCTTCTGCCGATATCTATGTGCGAAGACTCAATTTCAAGCATTTCTATGTTCACCCTGTACTTTGCCTGATGAATTTATAACTTACGCGAGCATCGTTAAAATTCAGACAGCTCGCTCTTGCTACGCGCACTTTCAAAAATCCGCTCACTTGGATGGCAAATAAATTTTGCCAATCAATAACTTTTATATCTTTTACAGTTACTAGCCTCGTTCAGCATCTTCGATATTATTTATCTCTTTTCGTTTTCCTAGTTGTACTTCACTATACTATTACTGGAACATAAATACATTACAACCGCCGATATTCATCAGCAAATAAAAATTCTATTGGTATTATTTAACGATATTTCAAAGATATGTCGAAAAATTATGCAAAAGTTTTAGTGAGCTGCGGTTTATGAAATGCGTTATTAAATTTTATTCAAACTTAGTATTGCTACAACTCCGATATTCGATTATTATTATTAATACATTCAGATTCCGCGTATTCTATAATTAACAATGTATCAGATTAACATACTTATAAATACACTTCAAATTTAACGGTTTAAATAGACGTCTCTTTACTAACAGTAGAATCTATAGAAACACATTTTTTTCCGCATTCTAACCTTTAAATCACACACCTTCGGCGCTTGTTTCCGCTAAACACTGTCCCTAACTGATGCGAAAAGGCTTTTTGACGAAACTCGTTACAGCAATCACCTTCGGCTTGCACCGTAAACTTGTCAAAAAGCCTTTGCACACCCGTTAGCAAATGTACTATTTCTCGTGTGCCGTTTACACCCGAGAGAAGCGAGTCAAGACTCTACTTTCCCGCAATTGTATCCTTATGTACCATTACTTTATTGTATTCGATTCTTTATCTCTTTTGAACGTTTAAAATTTAAAGATGAAAAAATTCATTTCAATTTCATAATTGGAATAAGATTGTGAATTTGTAGCATAGCACGGCCAGCATAAAAAATATATCACATACATTTTATTAAAGGGTTTATTCCTTGCATAGATTTTCATAAATGAAATTTATTGCTGAAGTATATATCTCCTACTTGTGCATATACAGCACAAATGTATTAAAGTACAATGAAACAAATTTTTGCGCTCTTTATACCAATCAACCAATTAAAATGTTTTTAAAATTGTAATAAAAATGTTTATCGGGTTAATATGATTTATTTAATTACAAATAATAAGCGCTTCTCTCGAAAATTCGGTAGCTTCTGCATTGGTCCAAATTTGCCTTTGAAATATTTGTTTTCGTTCGGAATCGCCCGAAAATCTAAAATCTAACAAGAAGCATCGTAAAGCCCCTTGAAACCGTGAAATTAAAATCTTGTAATTTATTCATTCGATACTACTGGTTTGAGAAAGTAAATAGCGATAGATGTATTATGTGCGTCTTAGTAGAGTAAATAAAAAATTAATGAAATTGATTGCACTGTTTGCCATTCAGTTCCAGCGTACGAGGTAGTACCGGTTTTGCACTCTGTACATAGGCGAAGTCCCGAGGCGAGACAGGAGCTGCATCTAAAAGCTTTCGGAACCGACTATAACTTCTCCTTGAAACCGAATAATGGACTCTGGAAGGGAGAGCATGTGGCCATGTGGACTGTAGAGCGAAATGACTCGCAAGCTGATGGATTACGTTATGAAAGGATACCGGAAGTACGTTATCGATTATTTATCTTTTCATCTTGCAATTGCAAAGCTCTTTGTATTATGCGAATGTACAGTCGAGGAGAAAAAACTAAAACTATCGTTCTTGATGAAAAAAAAAAATGAGCGCAAGGAAGTTAGCGATGAAGTAACGACTTAACGGAATACGAAGGTCATACTTATGATTGGTGATTTTGTAACAAGTTGCTCACGTTAAACTATACTATTGCCAACAAATGTCCAAATTGTTGAAATATGCAGGCGAACAAACTGAGTTTCTGTTGAAGAACGCAACTGCAAACAGAATCGGTAATTTGGTGAAAACGAAAGAAAGAATACGAGACGTAATCAAAGGCGTGCAAATAAGCTTAAGCTCTGTTTCGTTTGTGCTGCAGGAAGCCGCCGACATCGGCGATATCTACCAGGACACCCAGAACATGGCATCCATTCTGTTGCACCGGCAGCCCAGTGGGAAAGTGCTTGTCGTAAGTGGCCTCTCGACTTGGTTCTCCGCGCTTTCGTCAGCCGCGTTTATTTCAAAGTATAATAGATACGCGGCAGCGGCGACAGCAGCCTAATGGTCAGTGCTGCAAGCTTTGGAGATGCGAGCGGAGAGGCAGTGGGTAAAATCAACGAAAAGTTGACGATGCCACAATTGGGCCGGCTTAATTGCCGATCGTCGCTCGAGTCGCGCTCCGTTTTGGGCAGTACACGGTGGGATCTCGCTGCACCGGCGCGGCGCCGGGGGAGATCGAACCAGCCGATACCGCGCGCACGCGCGCGCCTTTCGGCAACGGTTCTCATAATTCGCTGGGTTGGCGCGTGCTTGCATCACCCCTTGCCCTGCACTCGATTCCAGGAAGTTCACTTGCCCAACAGATTTCCGCCGTCGATGCTGCTGCTCTGCCTGCTCCGTTCGCGCCAATTTTTTTTCTTCGCTTTCGCCATACAAACGTCGTTTAAATATTGCCTCCCCGCGTGTGCGCCTGCCGCTCGCGCCGGCAGAGCAAGAACAGACTGCGCGAGCCGCGCGAGCCGCTTTACCTTTCAATGCGAAAGTCAAAGCGAGCGTTTAGCTTTGCGCCAAGGCACCGAGCAGATAACGAAATATCGTCGCTTTCCAACTCGGCTCTGCGCGAGGCTGCGGCTAGCTCGCACGCCTTTCTTTCGAATATCCTTTGCGCAGCCTCCAGACCAAATATCCTTTTGCCATCTATCTTTCTTTTCTCTCTTGCACTTTTCGCCGACGCACTCACGCGAGCTTCAATGAAATTCAATGGCTGATCGTACGATTTTCGGAACAATAAGGCTTTTTATCCGAACCGAATATTTACTCGCAGCTTGGATCTAATTAAGGATGAATCAACAGCGTACACGCGGCTAATATTTGCGCAAAGATTTGAATGTGCAATGCCAGTTGTTCTAAGCGGAACACGGAAAAGATAGCGGGAATATTATTTTTCTAAGAACATTCAATATATAGTATTCTGACAACGGCTTTCGCAATTACTCGTCAATCTAGCTTCGTACTTTTTGTATCGTTTGTCGAGTTTGATAAAGAGACAATGGCTTTGTGAAATCCCACGCGTGGTATTTCCACCATGAGGCCTAGAAAGCGTTATTACCGATTTTTTAGAGGCTGCACGCCAACTCTCTACGATAAAAATCCCCATTGCTGCAATTTCTCGAGAGTTCATACGAATAGAACGAGCGAATCCTGGACTTTGAGAGAAATGGTTGATCGATCCCCAGTCGTAGTGAGTGGTGGGCAAAATGAACAAAAAAATAAATAAATAATGGTAAGAAAAATAAGCAGGCGCCGAAGATCTTTGATCTGTCGAAGCGCGAATGTAGCCTGAAAATGGGCTTTCTCGGTCCATGTGTATTTCTCGGAACCACTAGAATCGAGCGATACGATCTCCTGTCCGTACGGGGATATATGACTCGCGCCGAGTACGTAGAGAGCGGACGCGCGCGGGTGTCGCTAAATTTTTCAAGCGGCGAGAAATAAGCCGAGGCTCGATTAATATCGCAATCAATGTGAGCGATTTGGAGCCTCAGATTTTCGACTCGATCATTAGTTTGAGAATATCGCGCTACACCGAATTCTCGAACGATCGCGTGCAGGTAGGAGACCGCCGACTCTTATCGCGCATGCACGCCGGTTATCAGGGAAACACGCTTACGCACTATCGCTCTTTGACTTTGCTTGGCTGGCGGCTGTGCGCAGACAAAGCTTAGATACCGACGAAGATGAGACGCAAATCGTCTTGGATCGATGCACACACTTACATAAGCACAAGCTGTGCACACGGAGCAGCCGACCCAGCCGCGGTGTTGACCTTTTGCTTTCACTCTGCGCCGACGCAGCTGCCTTGCGACGATGCTCCTCTCTCATTCTGTGCACCGACGGACGCTTTGCCACTGTTTTTTTATGCTAATCCATCCCAAGTTGCGAATTAACATCCAAACTAGTTGCTCGCAGTTTGGGACATGAAAAATACTTTGAATTCAGGATGGACATATCGGCACGGACCTGGTGATCCGCTCGTTGCCCGATCGCGTGGTGAACGAAGTCGTGAGCAAGATGCAAGAGCTGCACGAGCCGCATTTACTGCCAAACGTCACGAGGGCGAAGCGAAGCCTCCAGCATACCAGCCATCACGTCGTCTACAGAAGGATAAATAGGCCCATAGAAGACGAATTCAGTGATTTCGGTGAGTCTTATCACTCTCAGCAATCATCCAGCCTTCGAGTAAAAGTATAGTTGCGATTCCTAGTTTCACCCGTCGATCAGAAAAAACAAATGCGAGGTCAGCGTTGAGATATTGTTTTGCAAGTCGAGTGCTCGAGGCGTGAACCATTTTACGGTTCGCCGATGCGTCAAATCTACGCACGGAAAATGAGAATTTACTGAAACTCTTTGGCTTGAAAATTCGCCTCGATTTTTTAATAATCTGTCTTGATTTGTTTAATCTAATTTCAGCATACATGGAACCTGATCACTTGTCGAAAAAGTTCAGATCCAAGAGATCAGCTAGTAGTAGTAGGCCTAAACGAGAAGCGCCATACGTAATTTATCCCGAAATTCTCTGCATCGTCGATTACGACGGCTACAGGTGAGTCTAAATGATTTCCTCGCTCCGTTACTTGGAAATGCATCGCCGTCCCTGAAAAAATCGCTGAGTTCTTTTACCGTCTAGTTGAATTAGCTGATTTGAGTGTTCATTAGCGCAATCGTTTTGACCGACGCAGCTCCTATGCAAATTGAAAAATGACGACCGATTTACGGAGTACAGTAAGAATGTCTTGTGCTTAAAAAAGCCATGCGTTTTTTTACTTTCGCACGATCGATCTTTTATTAAAATACGATTCTTTATTGATCTTTAATTCACTGGATTGACGTCTTTCCAAGCATTTAAAAATACATTCGTTAATGTACGTCAATCAGGGTCCGTGCGTTCGATTCGACTCGTATTAAATAAAAACTTCAACGCATCTGGTTTTCATCAATGCAACTGATTATCAACTCCGTGCAAATCTACATTCGTCGAAGGTGCGTCATTTGCTGTCCTTCGTCGATCATTCACCCCACCTCCGAGATTCGTAGAATCATCCACGCCACTGTCCTTGCGAGCTGCCAATGATCCGTTGGGTTTTTAAGAAAATTCGCTCTGGAACAAGTTTTGATTTGTCCTGGCGAATATTGACGCCTCGCTCATTCTCATCTTTTTGCAGATTGCACGGCGGTGATAATGTACAGATCAAACGATACTTCGTGTCATTTTGGAACGGAGTGGATCTTAGGTACAAGTTGCTAAAAGGCCCCAAAATACGCATCAGCATTGCCGGTATCATCATTTCGCGGGTAAGATTACATGTTTCGCTGAAGCTCAACGCAAATTCGCCCGAGTTTCGATCAACAGTTGGTCTAAGTTAGTCCAATGTGTTTGGTTTAAGGGAAGAGATGCTACGCCATATCTGGAAAGAAATCGCGTGGGGCGAGATGCAATAGATTCTGCAGCTGCGTTGACCGATATGGGCAAATATCTATTTCGAGAAAGAAGACTTCCGGTTTACGACATCGCGGTTGCAGTTACAAAGTAAGCGTATCCATAGTTTTCATCAGTGATTCTCACGTTCCTTTATAAGAAAATGACATTTTTGCACTTTACTTTTCATATCATTCACTTCAATTGCTACATATCCTTATCTGTACGATATTCAATCATTTGAAAGTGTCATTAAAAATATTCCAATTGAATAATTCACGATATTTCAGTTCTCTACTGATTTATTGGAACAATTAAATGTTATTAGCGAGCCTAATCGAATACGTTATTGATGAATATAAACGTTAACGAATTCCAATTGATTGAGATAGCACATCAGTAGAGAAAACAGAAAATCGTAACTGGCACATGAGCTTTATACTGTCACTCTATTATTGTATTAGTTGTATTATTCTGAAGACGAAAGACTCGATAATTAATATCGATGATGAAATGCCATAATGTCGTTATAAGTAAAAGAAACACGCAGGTACTACATAAAATAGCTCTTTAAATGCACTCTGATGACTTCATACTGTCCATGTTTTTTATTTCGTGAAACAGGTATGATATGTGCCGTCGTAGGAAAGGCGGCCGCTGCACTAAGGGAACTGCTGGTATGGTTTATTACATAGCGATCATGCTTTCCAATTACGTTTTTATTACCAAATTTTAATATAACTTAGTCATTGTATTGTTTGCCTGCTCTCTCGTTGATGTATCTATTCAATTTGCCCTCACTTTTGTAGTTTTAATTACTCACACTGTACATAGCTCGTATATACCATCGCCATTTGAGAGTTTGTTGTGCCTTGTGTGTGAAAAATAAAACCGTGCCAACAGAAAACCAAGTCAAAGCGATTTTCATTCCAATTGCTTCGCGAGAAAACTCATTTCTATGTCTATGATAACGAGCCAGGTTTCGTTCTTTTCTATGGCGCTCCACAAACAAGTAGATGAGCGCAAAAGTAGGACCAATTCCAAATAATGAAAATCGCTTTTCACCAAGTAGATTGTTTTCGATTCCAATCACGCGTTGTGAAAGTCTGTCGCGTGCATCCATCGCAACGTTACACTATACTCGGGCATGGCATACGCGTTTGCTCTTCATTTACAACCTATTTTATTACGTTGTTTATGTTCAACATCTCACTTTTTGATATTCGAATCGCACAATCAGAGTCAACTACTTTACCGGAAGCACTCAGACATTTACAGCGCGTTGTTTAGTGTTTTGGGAAGCATGCCATGGTTCAGTGATGCCGCTGATAGACCTGTAGGTCACAGCTCGTAATTTTAAAGAACCAAGTGAGAAATGCACAGCACACGATCAATATATACTCATAAATGTCTGCTAATTTGAAATCTGGACGATCGACAATAATAACTTTTTTCTTTGGAGGTACGTTCCTATCGCGTGTTGCTCGTTTCTCGCTTGAAAATACATTTTAGAAGCTTCGGTAGAACGTCACGTAGATTAGTAAAATGGCGCATAATTATAGTCAACGCTCGTTCTTTTAAATTCTGCAGGCTTTTGTTACTAGTCACAAGCACATAATTAGTTAACTAAACACTCGTTTAATCTTAAAAAAAATTAATTTGAAATCTAAAAAATTAAGTCTAGCAGAATTTTTAGGAGAACTGCTCCACGAAAACCTCTTTCCCCTGCCTCATCACTGTTCATTGATGATATTTATCATACTCCATATTCATAAAATTTAGTTTTTAATCCTGATTAATTACAGCTATTAACAGTCTTTTAACTCCTCAGCAAAAAAAAAAAAAAATCAGAATAAACGAAGAATCACAAGTTACGAAGACTCGTAGAATCGTCTGTTCTCAACAAGTCGCCATGCTTTCCTTTATTTAATTGTTTACACATATTTTTTTTAAAGTTTCAAAAAATTTACAGATTAGTTTATATACGTTAATAGTTATTAGAATTTTTTGATAGTTATTTAAAATTATTTGCCATAATTCTTACGACGATTTACATGCAACAATTGTATTTATTTACTTTAAACGTCGTTCTTATAAGTAAATATATGTATCGACTGTTACGGGAGACGGAGACGTCGTGAAATTCCAAAGTGTCCAAATAAGTTACGATGATAAAAGAGAATATTTTTATTGTTGCGTTACAGATTAGATATGTGCAGACGGCAATATGCGAATGATGTATGCAATAGAGGAACCGCAGGTACGTTGTTCATATAAAATGAACAAAATGTCAAAATTCACCTGCAGATCTGTTTTTAAATCTACTATCTGCTGAACTTTCACAATGAGACACTTTTATCTTTTATTTGTCTTTTTTTTCTGTTTATGGTCTTTTTTTGCTTCATTGTAATTATTTATATTCACTATGCAAAACTTTGTCTCTTGATACTTGCAACAAAATTTCTCAAATCTAAGCTTTTTTTACTATTTTATGTACTTTGTGTGTCTAATTTCATTTATCTTAAAAATGCGTACCTACGCCTCTTCGTTTGGTCTATATGTCTTTGGTTTACTTTCTTATGTTTATGTGTCCTTTTATTATTTATGTTACGCACACAATGTCTGTACTTTGTCAAACTATCTATCCACATGCAAGCCATATACAAGTCTGGCATCAAAAGTAATGTTCTCAAATTATATTCACTTTCAATATTTCTATGACTTATAAATAATGTTAAAGGATGATATAAATACTTTATGCGGATGTATGTTATAGTAGCCCGGTATAGTATTTTCAAAAAAATTTATGTATATCAAATAGATTGTGAGAAATGATAATTTTTATAGCAACTTATCTTTACAGCTTGAATTATTCAATACGAAAAAACCGTGTTTTCGTCGACTAAGATATGTTCAACCTAAAATACGTAAATATTAATAATCCATACTGAACAATAAGTTTCTTATCAGGTATACAATATTTGTATAAGGTCTTTTACAAAGAAAAATAAAATATTTAAATAATTGATTTATTGAATTTCCATTCGAGATTTAACATTATATTCACATCTCCAATATAACAATCTTATTAACAATATATGCATGTTGCTAAGCGGGGTATAATTTCATTCAACACTAAATTACTGATTAATAATGATCTAATTTTGAAGCCATGGCTTATTACAGTGTTATTCTCATAACATTTTCTAGAATAATATAATAATTATATTATTAACGGATTTAACACGTAACAAGCAATAAGTGCTTTCAACCAAACATAAGGTCATATTTTTGACGTGAACATTTTAAGAAGATTGCACGAAGACACTTATTGCATAATCATTATTTTATTTTGATACAGTATTATTGTAATCTAACCATTCAAGTAAGAATTGAGTTGTGTCGATTTGTTTTAATGATTACAATAACGAAAGTATTTAGTATATTTTAACAAAAAGACAAAGCCAGCGAACAATGTCTAATCAAGTGTATTTGGTGTATAGGTTTTGCATATGTCGGTGGAGCTTGCGTGGTGAACAAGAGGCTTGAAAAAGTTAATTCAGTGGCTATAATCGAAGATACCGGCGGCTTCAGTGGTATTATCGTAGCGGCTCACGAAGTCGGCCATCTGTAAGTACAACACAAAATTGCGCGTGTATTTTTGACGGTCAACACTCTACAGACCGAATGTATACGAATGTTGTCTTGTCAGACTGGGTGCTGTACATGACGGCTCGCCACCACCAAGTTACCTGGGAGGTCCCGGAGCTGAAAAATGCCGCTGGGAAGACGGATATATTATGAGTGATCTGAGGCATACGGAAAAAGGCTTCAAGTGGTCTCACTGCAGTGTTTCTTCTTTCCACCACTTTTTGAAGTAAGACGTTCGACAGCGATGCAAGTCTTTTTAACTACTTAAACATCGCGTAGAAGAAGCAACTGGCGCGTATGTTTGGAGAATGCGATCGAATGATTTACGAATGTGATTTTCAGCGGAGACACAGCAACGTGTCTTTACAATGCCCCTCACGAGGATGAAGCGCTGCCAAGAGTACTGCCAGGAAAACTGTTGTCACTCGATGCACAATGTCGAAAGGACCGTGGAACAAGCGCTTGCTTTGTAAGAACTTTAAGTTAACTTTCTTCCGCGCGAAACAAAAGAACCCAATTTGTATGCTACTTTTATCGTTGAAATTAACAGAAAGACGATCGTGTCTGCGCTCAACTTTTCTGCTTTGATGCCGGCTCGGGCTACTGCGTTGCATATCGACCAGCAGCCGAAGGTTCTCCATGTGGAGATGGTCAAGTGAGTTTAATCGATTGATATCTAAAAACGTTTTAGTTCAAAGGAAACGCATGACGATTAATTTACTGCTTGTTTAGTATTGTCTAAATGGAAAATGCGTTGCCGAGCACGAGAATATTATACCTGATTATACGCAAAACATACCAACGTACGTGCGACATGACAACATCTACAATGCTGCCACGCAAAGTCGACCATTGTACAATCGATACAATACAAGTACCACAGAGTACAGGTAAATTTTAAGTGATGCATTAAGAAGAAATTCAAATAGTTTTTAAAAAAAGTAGAATATTATTGACGATTGGATTATTATAAATACGAGAACACAAGTCGTTTTGTCGTTGACTTAGCATCACGCAAACATTTATTAGCAAGAAAGCAGAGAAAAGCCTCGCTGAATTAATAAAATATGCTATGCAGGTCTCCATGGGAAGTAACAACTCGAAGCACATATCAGTACAAGTACACGACGCCTTATACGACATCGACGAGTACGACTACGATGACCACGACAGCCAGTCCCCTGACTTCACTGTATCCAACATCAACGCCATACACACGTTACATTTACTCGACAATAAGTAATTTTATAAACGACGATTACAACAAAAAGTACAGCTCCGACTATAACAAGGACGTTAACAACAATTACGTGTACACCACTGCCACGAGCAAGAAGACAAATCCCTATGACTATTCGAATACTTATTATTCAAAAGGCAGCGACTACCCTAACGACGTTGACTATTTGAAAGCCACACCCTACAGATATACTAAGAGTACCGTCAAGTCGACATCGCTCGCGCAGACGAGCACCACCGTCACCCACTATGCTCCGCAAAATTACGGTCACGGTAAGGATGGAGCTTAACGAGAGGTTTTATTCTATATCTGGCCAACATTACTTTTCAAAATTCTCTTGAGCTATGCAACTTTCTTCTCTGGAGCTCTCATAATGGATTCCTTTTTCAACACTGATCGTTCTATTCTCAATGTATTTCTTGGTCATTCTATGTTCTTTGGGTATCCACTTGAAAATTTTCTACAGCAATTCTATTTTATTTCTAAACTGAAAATATTTATTATATTTCTTCAATCATTTGCTTGTTTTGTAAATATTTGTCTTTTTCGTCGATGCGTCTTTCATTCATTGTCAAACTTTTGCTCGATTGAATCCTGTCATTTCTGTTCTTACTTCACTCGTCAATTTATTACATTTAATATTCTTTCGACATAAATTCATAATTTAGTTAACATTCCTTTCAATACTGTGAAAATAAATTGGCTTCACACGAATTATTTTCTTCATCAATGAATCCTCAATGCCACTATTGTTATTACTTTTTTCGACCACACGATGCAAAATCCACCTGCTTTCTTGTTCTTTGTTATTTAGTTGACTTCCTTGGCTTTCGTTTCAGTGTGAAATTAATACAAAAGATATAAATTCATACAAGACTGATATACGCCAATTGATTGAAGATTCTGGCATACGTTACGCATTCTAATGACGTCTTGTGAAAACATTTCTTATCAGGATTATTAATTTTATGGATTTCTTATCTTTGATACAAGTTTCCAAAGAACTACATCTCTACGATAACTGTTTCTTATAGCATGCATACCGGTTTTTTACGCTCACTAAATTAATCAACGTGTCACTAACGCGATTATATCAACAACACTCTTCTCTTGTATATTTGATCTACTGGTACATTATTATAAATATAAAGTAATTTCATTACGGATTAGTACAAAACTTTGGTTTAATTGCAACTATGAAAGTAAAAAAATATTGACATGTAGATTTGTTGAAATGAAATGAATCTTCTTTCAAGAATGGTAAGAACGAGATCTCTTCGGTGGCAGTTACTGTAATCATACTCTTTATTTCTATGCAATGGGCATTAAAAGCCGAAAAATGCAATTTGAATGGAATGCCGGGAATGAATAAGCGGGAGTGTTAACGGAAGGTATTGTTTTGCAAGCAGAAACAGAGGACGGTGAATGCCAGGACACGGGGACGGATTGCGCGGAGCTGATCGAGAGGCTGAGGACATGGCTGTGCCATCTGCAATCAGTGAAAAGTCGCTGTTGCGCGTCCCTCAAGACGATTTGCTGAGAAGTGGCAGGGAAAATAGCGCTGAAGCGATGGATCAAGTTCAAGGCAATCGAGAGGAAAGGAGGCAAAGAACGACAGAGTCAATAAAGGCGTGCACACGATGCTCTCTCGCTCTCGCTCTCGCTCGCTCTCTGTCTGTCTGTCTGTCTGTCTGTCTGTCTGTCAGTCTCGTCATGGGAGAAGCGCAACGACTACTCATATTATGCGATTCATTTCGTCATATGCATGTCACATGCTTACTAAAAACACGATAAGTTCATTCCTTTCTCGATCGCCAGACTAAAGCAGATATAGCGGGATGTATGTCAAAAAGAGGACAACGCAAGAAAAGTGAGCGCCAATGGAAAGGCACAGGTCGACGGGAGTCGGAAGAGACACGCGCAGTTTTCTCCTTTTTCCCTAATGCTCCATTCCCTTCCGTACCATTCCTTTCTTCCTTCCTCGCTTCCTCCCTGCTTACTCTTTTTCTTCGCCTATAATCGCATTATCATTTCGCCCTCCTTCCTACGTCTGTCCTTTCTGCTCCACGTCGCGTTAATGCAACGCGTCGATCCGTGATATTTTTCGAGGGACCAAGACAGCAAGGAGAGATACGCGCGCGCGCGAGATCGTTCATTCGCTTTTGGGACGAATTCGCAACAGTTTAAACGCACCCCTTTTTCGCACGAAGGAGGAAGTAAGGAATGACCCCTCCCCGTCGCCTCCCACCCCTTTCATTCTCAATTTTTCCACCTCTGTGTCCCCTTTTTTACGTCTGAGTATGTATTTATGAGCGATATTGTCGAGAGATTCGACTCGACGCACTAGAGCGTATTTACAACTTATTTTATTTTGTTTTCTTTTTTATACTATAAAGTACGTTTTCGGCGTCGAATATTCGTGCAATAACGACGTCGCGGTGTGTATTCCGGCATTTTTAAGTCATTTGTTACCAGCGAACCAACTCAAATTATCGGCGAAAACTTTGTAAGCAAAATCTTTGTAGAATAAGAAATAAATAGTAGTGTTAAATGTACCATGTGTATTGATTTTCTTTGTGTTTCCTTCCTCATAACTTATCCTTTCAGCTCATGTTACTTGTATCGAGTATTGGTCAGTCTGGAAATAAAATTTTTTATAAAATAAAAAATAGTTCAAGACAGTGCTTTATTTATTAAAAATAAGACATTTTTTTTTGCTAGATATATGTCATCAAACATTATCATTCGATATTCATCCTTCGAGCTAAGACAAACAAATGTTATAATCAGAATATCATTACAAGAGTTATTATGTTAGTTATTACTAAAAATGTGCACATCTTCCGAACTAAATATATGATACTTAATTATTTAACATTATCCTTTGTCTCATTATAAATAAATCTATTAAGTGTCATTATTCCTCTGCTAATGGAATTCCAACTTTAGATTCCAATATGGTATATGTATGAATAAATGACAGATAACTTACGTTAGTATATTCATGTAGTGAAAAACATAATGGACTCGAACTGATATTCTTACGTAATAGTTTGATATATTTAATTTATATTAAAAATGTCAATGTGACTAAAACTTTAGAATATTACAGATACCTTATATGTGTACATTGAACAAAATTAATTTCAGTAAACCGGATTTTAGACGACGAAAAAATAAGAAATTAACACCTAATAATCGACACTATAACGAAAAGATTTACCTTCAAGTTTAATGATAGCACAGGTGTTTGATCAGATGTTCGCTAATAAAAATATCTGTATGCGTAGCTTATAATCATGTGTTGAGTAACTCTTTCCGCATTTTACGTCGTCTTTCAGACGCGACATGCAGCATATTCCATTTTAGCTTTAATAGAAAAGTGCACGACTAATAAAATTCTTCTCAAAGAAAAACAGTGTTTGAGCTCTGTGTTAATTGGTAACATCCATCGATTAAATTGTTAAGTGAATTTTTATAGAAAAAATGTTACATTGTTTTATATACTTATCCACTCTAGTCGTTGCTTCTAGTCATGGATTCGAGGTAAATATCCTATCCATACATCATAAATAAACGAATTTCGTATTTGTTTATCGTTTTTAAATGTAACGTTGATTAGGTTCATAAATTGATGACACCTGATGAAGTACGCCGTGTATTTCAATCTGAACATGACAACGGTAAGTTATAATTGTGTTTTTGCGAACCGGCAGAATATATTTGGCTAAAAATTGTATTATATTTTATAGTGCCTCAGTACGAAGTAGCTCAAGTTGCTTATGCAATTCACGAAAAAAGTCAAATAAATTCAATTCATAAGATATTGCATTTGAAAAGCTCCACTCGTGATATCAAGTTATATTTGGAACCTACAGAGGGTTTCTTAGCTGGAAAACATACCCCAATATGGAAAGCACAAGGAGATCTTTCATCCCCTTCAGGGATAAAGTACACTCGAATATCAAATGTAATATTTTGATACTTTACAGCTTAATTAGTGACGAGTTGTTATAACCATAGCTGTTTTTAGGCTATGAAAGGGGCAGGCGGTCATTTTTACCAAGATCCGTACAACTTGGCTGCTTTGTATAGTAGGACTGATGAGCATGGTCAAGTACTCTATGTGAGTCACTATTCGATCACAACGTTCACTCTGCAATTCAATTGTATGAAAAATTATCATAGTAATGACAAAATGTAATTGCAGGAAGGTACGATCGGTGACGATCTTGTTATTCGCGCTCTTCCGAAGAGATTTCAGGCATTATCAAGAGAAAAGCGCAGTGTTTCCGATGATTATTTTGCTTTTTCAAATCGCACGGTTACTCATCCTAATCTCAGAAAGACTTACGATCACATATTATACAAGAACAAGCAATTAAATCGTGATGGAATACGAGAAAGTAAGTTATTTCTCGTGTTAACAGTTGAGGTCAACGTTTAATGTAGACAAGTGTTGATTGTAGTAATTCTTTATAGAAATTGGATCAGACATTTTTGAAGAAGCATTCTTCAGACAAAAGCGTTCAATATATATTCAACCTCCAAAGACTGTATATCCGCAAATTCTAGTTATTATTGATTACAGCCATTTTCAGTGAGTTAATACTACGATTAATTATTACTTAGGTATGGGCATAAATCTCAATTGTTAATACTTCTCGATAGATCTCTTCAAACAATCTCTGAAGTTAGAAGATATATTGTATCATTCTGGAATGCTGTTGATTTGAGATACCGTGTGTTTGTTAATCCTAAGATTCGCTTGAATATTGCTGGAATTATTATTGCGACGGTAGGTTAACGCAATGCCTGCAACAATCAAAATCATGGCCTTATTTATTCTTTACTTTGAAGGAACCTAATGGATTGCCCTTCTTAAAGAATCAACGTACGCGACCGTTTTATGGTCCCATCGTTGATGCTGATAGCGCTTTGGATCGAATGGGACGTTACTTTTACTCAGAATTTATCAATCCAAAATTGAGAAGATTTGTTATCGAAAGAGATTTCGATATTGCAATAACAATGACGCAGTATGTTTTTTATTATTTATTAAAATTTTGTTCATACAATTTTATTACAATTCTTTATGCATGTCATTATAGATTAAACTTGTGCAATTACGAGAATAAAGATACAGATTTTGACTGCACCACTTTAGGTAATTGATTAAAAAGTCTATTTACAAGAATTTAATGCATCGTTATTAAGATTATTAAGATGTTCTTAACACGCGTAAATATATTTAAAAAATACGTATTTTTGAAGGTTACGCTTTTCGTAATGGTGCATGCACGGTAAGTCCATTAGCACAGGTAGTAAAAGCTGTTGGACTGATTGAAGATAATGGTGGCTACATCGGTATAGTACCAGCAGCTCATGAAATCGGCCACTTGTAAGTGTAAATTAATCAACGTTTTTAGCTGAAGGGCTTTTATATTTTCTGCGTTGAACTTCAATGACCCTACAAACTGCCCAGGCTAGGATCTCACCACGATGGGTCCGAAGTGGATGACCTAGAAAATCCAAAATGCCCGCTAAGTGATGGATACATTATGGCCGGACAACTCACGCTAACCAAAAATGTCTTCCGATGGTCTTCGTGCAGCATGAAGGACTTTGACATCTTTTTCCAGTAGCTAATCTATCTTATTCAATTATATCCTTGATATTATTTTTATCATTCTTAATTTACTGTATTGCAGTCATCCACGGTCCAACTGTTTATTCGATGAACCAAAATACAGTAGACCAGTTCGTCGCGTTTTACCCGGCAGAATCTATTCTCTCGATGAGCAATGCGATAGAATAACAGGAACTAGAGCTTGCAACGTAAGGCATCATTTTTTTCCAACCATGTAAGCGGAGGCATTAAAGGACAGGGGAATAATATTACCATTCATTTATAGAAAGACGAAAGTGCTTGCATACACTTGGATTGTTTTATTCCTGGGTCTAATGGCAAATGTTTTTCAAAAGTACCTGCTGCTGAAGGTTCCGATTGCGGCCATCATCACGTAATTAATTAATCAACAATATTAGTGTTAACCGCAGTAACAAATTACCAATAATTATGAGGATATTCTTACTTGACAGTATTGTATCAATGGGAAATGTATCGCAAAGAATACAACACAAGTTCTATTGGAACCGTCGGATACAAGTGACTTAATAGATTACGGAGATATTGAAGTTATATACGAATAAATGAAGACTTGATATTGAGTTCAATGACTTCGTAATATTATAAGTAATATAATGAACAAAACAGAGAAAAATCTATTTTATTCTTCTATAACTTTTGCGATCTTACGTTGAACGTTACTCACCGTAAGCAAATATAAGTGCAAGTAACTGATTGAATTTGTCAAATTCAAATGAAATCTAGTTGCGAATGTCAATCAAACAGTGGCTCAAATATACTTTTTATAATGGAATAACTTGTAGGTACCAATTTAGAAAATTCTCTTAAACTTACTCTTGCGCTGGCCGCATTACGTTACTTTTTTATCGTTGAAAATATCATTGAATATTTTTTTATCATGGCGTTACAAAAAAATCAACTAGTCAATAAAGGCAGATATAATAAAAACTTTTCTTTTATTCTTAAATTATAAGAATTTTCGTGGATGACGTGAGAAGATAAAATATTTGTTGCTTAGATAGGTGCAACTTCGCATATCTTTCGTCCAAAAAGGAGACAGTATATCTTTTAGTAGTGAATACGACAGACAATTGATTATTAAAAATAATAAGTAGTTATAAGAGTAATAAGTGGGAGCTAGTATAAGAAACGAAATATAGCGAGCAGCTCAAGTAAGGCGAGCGAGATGGTGAGTATCCTACGAGCGAGGGTTAAACGGAATATGCGAGGTAGGAAATGAAAGAAACAAGGTGTAGCGAGAGAGAGAGAGAGAGAGAGAGAGAGAGAGTGGAGCAAGCGCAGTCTGCCGAATTATTAAAGGCCAGAGCGAGCTGCCGAGGGTGAGGAGAAGTAAGGAGGTCGTGTTGTCGGGGAGTAAAGGAAGAAGGCAAGAAGTAAGGGAGGAAGGAAGGAAGGAAGGAAGGAAGCACGACCGAGGGAAAGTCTCGCGGAAAATGAGTCCACGTCGTGTTGTGAGGTGACATCTGGCTGCCAGCGCGCTCTGCCTTTTTATATTCAACTCGGCGGCTGCCGCTGCTGGCCCACGTGTACACGTAAGCCGACCAAGTCCGCCCCGCGCATGAAGAGAGAGAGAAAGAGAGAGGGGGGGGGAGGGGCGAGAGATGAAGGAAAATGGATAATATTCGCGTGTATGTGCGAGACGCGCCACGACGAATACGAACGAGCTCGAGCCACGGCATGTTCTATCTGGCTGTCTTGCGACCTCCCGCCTCGTACCTTCTCCCCCTCCTATTCGTCTTTTTGCGAGCTTTCAAAGCCCTACGACGTCGCGAGATTTCCAAATACTTTTTATCGGAATTCATGATGCTTTTTTACGATAAACTTGACGATGTTCCGTAAAGCTTTATGAAAATTGGCAAAGACGATGTGTCGCTGATGGAATCGCGGAGTGTCTATAGCTGCCACAGTCGTATAGAATTCTGTGGGTCATGCCAATTTTTTTCGAATCGCTTTTCTATTCCGATAGAGCAACCAACGCGACTAACGACAAACGGGGAAAACATTGAATATTCCAGGAATGACCGTCTAATGCGCAACGTCACGTTAAGAATTCTCGACGTCCAATCTTAAAGGAATACACGCGGCTAGCTGACTGCCCGAGCTGTGCTAATAAACTATTACTGTGATTGACTTGGTGAAATGTTGAAACGACCATTAATATTTTCGTCGTTCGCCAAAGTTGCATTATAGAGATCCGTAAAAATTAAAAAACAAGCCTTTTCGAGCGCTAACGTTCGAGACAGATATAGGAGTAGGAACGAGCAAGAGAAGGAGCGAGGGAGGCATACGTTTCCCTATCTACCCCATTAAAACTTAATTGGAGTTCAAGCCGTTCTGCTCTTCTTTTTCTTTTCTCCATGAGCTCAACGCTGTAGGTGAGAAAATGAGAGAGGAAGAGAATAACGGCAAAACAGTGTAAATCAAGAGTTATCACCCTGAGGCCAGTACCAACGCAATGCTTGACTATATACGTTTCATTCTCTCTCTCTCTCTCTCTCTACTTGCGACTATCACCCAAAGTCTTTATTCTGCATTTGCCTACCTACTAACAGATGTAAATTGCTTGGTGTCTACTGTTTACGGATAACAAGTTTAAGTACTGCTTGCCTAAATCCTTTAATTGACGTCGCTGTAGTCTTATGATCTGCTCGTAATTTGTTGTTCAAGACAATCATTATTACCACAACTTAGCTCTAATGATTGTAATATATTCTCAGTGTATATCAATATAATTAAAGCAATGGAACATTGCACTTTTTGAAACTGATCTCTCGAAAACTACATGATATGCAATAATCCAATAAACTCATGAGATCTATCGGTGTTGGTAAACTTCTGTTCGAATTCTTGATTCAAACGTATACAAAATATGAAACTTGCATGCAGTAATAGGTATGGAAGGTGTTGCCCTCTGCTGGATTAATACGGAAACTTTTTAATGAAACAGATTGCTGCGTTACCGTTCTGCATAATTTATGCTTTTCTTCTTCATTTTTTACGTATTACGTATTACGTAAGAATGTATTAATAAGTATTTACTCTTTACATCCTTTTTTATATTCGTACGTTATTGTACGGACTGACAATGGATTCATCGATAAAATATATTCAATGGGATGTACGTATACTGACTACACAGCTTGGAAATGATCGAAGATTGTCAACAGAATTTCAAAATCGAATAATTGACAATAAAAGCGGAACATACCGCGCAGTCCAGCGGCTAAATTACGTGATCGTTGTGCCGGCCGAGCCGAACGAAATAATTGATATATGTCGAGCGCGTATCGCACGGGATGGTCGGTAAGTAGTCGCGCGTGAAGCAAACCTTTGGAGCTGAGGGAAGCCCTGGACTGCGCGTTATACAGCGCGCGGCCACCGACCCAGTGTGATTTACAGCTCGGCCAGGGAGTTAAAACTGTTGTCGGGGACGCCAACAGCAAGTATCGTCGAGGACAGCGTGGCGAATGAGAAAAAAAAGAAAACGATATTAAAACTGACGGAGAGTGTGAGTAGTTGGCTGCAGAGGGGCGTGTCGCTAGGCAGAGCTCGGAAAATATTGCAGCCCGATAAAGAGAGAGAGAGAGAGAGAGAGAGAGAGAGAGAGAGAGAGATAGAGAGAGAGAGGTACAGGAAGCAGCAAGCGATCAAGCAAGACAGAGCAACAATTGTTTCGCTAGTCAAGCAAAAACGCTTACACCTGCTCGACATTATTACTCCCACCCATATTGCACTCGTCGAGGACGCGCGTGCTTCGTTAGAAATATTCTCCTAGTTCTGTCTCTCGAGAGCGCGCCGTCAACACTTTTTGCTCGCTCCCTCAATTTATAGTTGTATGCCTGAACCCGATCGAAGTCTTTTTTCCATCACGCTTCCGAAAGATGCGCGATTACGCAACTGCTTTCTTTGGACTACGAGGACTAAAGTCTTTCGTGAAATGTTAATTTGGCGTTCATACCTATTCATGAAGCGCTATCAAGGAATTCCGATTGTGAGTCAGTTTCGTTGAATAGAAATCTAGTCATCCTCTTACGTTAGCGATACTAAGAATATTGAGGCGTACAATATATGCGTATTTTGTTCTTTTATCGTCAGACGTGATAAGCATTGTCGTCATTTAATCAAATAGCACTAAACGAAGTAGAGGCGCAAATCAGCCTGCGTGACAATAAAGTGCCTGAAAGAAAAATTGTCCTCCGGCTCCCCCCCCCTCTCTCTTCTTCTTTCAATTCGAGCTCGCTCTTACGAGTAAAGAGCGAAAACTCATTTTTTCTCGAGCAGCTGATATTGAAGCACGTAAAGCATCTAATTTATATCAAGAGGAAATTACTGCAGACACGACGGTAACTTCATCGTCTGTAGCCTACTCGTCCTTTTCTTTTCTTTTTTTTTTTCATCTTCTTACCTCGTTCCTATTGTGCGCGCGCTTTCTCGCTCTCTTGCCAGATGCTTCGCGTCGTCGTCGAGGCATAATTGCTCACGTAGCGGGCGACGTGGCGAGCGCCAGGAGTAAACGCAGAATGACAAAGACAGCGGCAACGAAAGAAAACGAAAAGAATAACTCGAGAAAAGGTGGAGACAAGGAAGGAACGTAGTGCCGGCTCAGCCAGAATCTAACGACCCATCACTATTAGCTCGCAATCACTAGATGTTAATTGTTCCGACGGAATCGATGATTCGACGTCGATCGAACAAAAGTAATCTCTTTCTCTCTCACTTTGTCGTGAGCGTGTAACGAATGTGACCGGGATTCGACCCTCCTAGCCCTGCTTTTTTTTCTTTTTCTTTGCCGCCACGGCTTTGAATGTGTACGTGTGTACATACGGATGTCGACACGTAATACGGACTTTGAACAAGCCAATAAAAGGACACACAGATTTAGTCCACTATTCAACCTAAGATATATATATATATATATATATATATATTTTGCTTGCTACAGCCCTTCCTCTTCCAGCAGTACTTCGTCTTCCCGTTGGTTTTATGAGCGAGTAATGTACGACCCTGCTCTTCTCAATCTTTATACTGTGTCTGAAAGTTAGACCAAAAAATCTTACTACTGAACTAGACGATACGCAGTATAATATTATTTTGCTTGTTTTATCTATCAACTTTTTTCTATGTCTGTGCGGAACAAACGAGTTTTCTAGATGAACTCTTCTTTGATTCACGCCAAAAATACCGTAAACATCGGTCAATTTTGTGAAAGTGTGCGTGACGGTAAATGCACTGCACTGCAAAGCAAAACTTGCGCGACAAAGCGTCAACCGTTTTTCACAAACTCGGCAGGGCGCGCGAGCGTTATGCATAGCAGTGGTGCAGTGGTCCGAATTTTTTTTCTTTTTTTTTTGTGACATTACCAACGCTGCCCCTCTCTTCCGCGCTGCCGTGCACCGCCGGAAAATTGAAGGGGCACGAGAGCGTGTTGCTCACTCGCTTGCACGGAAGAAACATTTTTATTCGTGATTAATACCCTAAGAGGCGCAATCTGCATGCTAACAATTTGTCTCGCAGCCTAATGTTCGCGCCTTCCGCATGCAAATTTGCCCACAATGA